TGGAATCCAGGACGCGCATTTCATCCTATTAGGCACTCGTCAGGTGAACGTGTCTGCATCCGAGTTGATATTAACTCCGGGGCTCGAACCTAGTACCGTTCGCTTCAAACGTCAATGGGAATATTCAAACAACTAGTACAAGTGAATTAAATTTCACCCCGTTCCACAAGCCAGTGGCTATCTGGACTCAGTAGCCAAGTGGATAACGCTATAGCGTTTGAAGCGAATGATACTGGGTTCGAGTCATGGAGTGACCATCAACTCTAGGATGCAGGTACATCAAAATAACGAGTGCCAAATAGGATGAAAAGAGCGTTCTGGATTCTATTGCTGGTCACCATCCATCTCTGCTTGCAAATTTTATGTCCACAATATGAATATAACATAATCAATTTCAATACAGGAAATAAAAATGGTGTTACATATTAAAAGCAACAATGATTCACTACCTTCTAAATATTGTATTCTATTTTGATGCTATCGTTTTGTCAGTTATACTATTATGCATTTCTATCTGTTAAAATCATAACACCAGTGAGTACCTTTACTTAAAGCCACTATTACGAATCTCATCTGACTATAGCAATAATAAAAGTGTATCTTTCATACATAAAACTAGCTGACAGTTTGACGGAAACAATCAATGACTTGATCCAATTTACCAAACACTTAAAGTAGGAAAATGGGACTATTTATTATCTTAGTATACAAGTGACTAGAAACAATGGTGAAAACAATGCACAAACCCATATTGAAATTCATACTTATAACAGCAAAATAAGGACTCAACATACGCGAATGATTTTGTATGAGGTCTAAACGAACTATTAAAAAAAACGCAATTGTTTCTATTTCACAAGCCAAAATTAAGTTTTTTAAATGAAAAGATACATAATTATCCGTATACTCTCAAGAAGGGTTGTATTATTAGGGAAATATTATGCAGCCGAAAAGTTAACAATACTAGATATGTTAGGTAGTAATGAATTGTGATCGGTTAACGACCATAAAATAGCCTGTAAAATTGTAAATTGAGATAAGTGCTACAAAATCAGTAAAAAATGCTACTAGTTGTAACTAATGTTAACAGCATATTTCGTATGATGGACCGAGAATAAGACTTCCAAGAACAAGGCTAACTTGCACCTAAAAGGAAGGATTTCATGAGTTGTTTTAGGGTCTGTGTAATGGGGTTACCAATCTAATTCAATTATTAACTTATTCCCCTACGTTGTCTAAAGAACTATTGGTCTTCTCGTTATTCCAATAGCAAAAAGACCTTTAAACAATGATCTTTTGACAGTGAACAATGGCGGGAAAAACATCAGTGCTTACTGGCCTACGAACCCCTCCCAGTCAGAAGACGAAGATAGCAAGCATAATGATTCTTGATTGCGACCCTTTCAACCATGACTCAAAGTTCATACAATACAAAAATATACCTCAAATACCTGATTGGGAAATAATAATGAATATATAAATCAGGGATAAGTGGTACAAAAAGAAGAGATAATGAAATAATCATTGGTAAATCTGAACGGATAAGACACATAGCAATGGTTTATGGGTCAAGCAAAGCTTGTAAATGAGGAAATATAAATATACAGCAATTCAAGCGTTTAATCATTATTTAAAAAATAAAAACAATAATCTCCTGTAGGGTAGTTCTGAAAGTTCAACCTTATTCAAATATTCTCCAATATGGTAAAACCAAATTAAAGAAATCATGTTTTATTTTCAAAATCCATGACTTTAGTAATACTAATGGTACTCGTTGAAAAGTATGTTTAAATAATTTTACGCCACCTAAATATGCTGTTAAATGTTACAATCAGTAGTAAGTAGTAATTAAGACTTGTAATTCCGTATTTTGGGGGTTAGCAATGAGAGAAAGATATGATGAGCTTGTATGCTTAACTCAGTTGTATATTATAAATAAAACAAACAAAAAGTTTTGAAGATGGTTCTTTTAACTATTAGAACTATAAAGTGTGGAAGCTTACTTTTAGGTCCAATGTAAGCTAAACATTCAGAGTTTGAATTCATGTCGGTGTATAGATTCTGATTACTAAATATTTTCAAACTAGAATGGAACATGTGCGCAATTCGTCTTGATTCTTTGACTAATGTTAAACGTTTACTAAAAATTTCCTACAAAATCATCAAACTTAAACCTCATCCTTAAATATCGTGTTTTTTTTTTTCAAAACAGTATTCTAATCTACTGATAATATAGTTTACTTTATATGATCCACATCTAGATCAATTTTCAACGTATTATGAACTTTTTCCAACTGAACATACATACTTGGTACCAAATAAAACAATTTAATAAGTTTTAGTAAAACCAATCGATCAAAATGTAATTGTATACATGAATTATTAATTTAATTTAGTCTTCATACACATTCATGAATGATTTTAACAACCATTTAACTATTACAGAAATATAGGACAGCTACATAGATAGTAATTTATTCGCAAACATGTTACAACTTTCCAACCGTAAAATTTGTTTTAACTTTGTAATTTAAATACAATGAATTCAATGAATTACATATGCATCTTTAAATGTATAAATAGAAATTATATGTAAGCATGTGAATATAATCCATTTATAAACAATGAACTAAACTAATTTTTAATAAGTAGTAGTTTATAAGTAAATGAAAATTTGAACAGATTTTATTACAAAAAGATTTTGTTTGAAAGAAAAAAAAAGTGGCATACTGATTGCTTTAATCATCTGTTTGTTTAAATCGTTTCCTAATGTATCTTAAACAATTGGAATTATTCTGTAAGATGAGAATATTTTTTACTGTAATGCATTAACCCATAGAAAAAAAAAGTGTTCTTCATGAAGATAATGAAAATAATACATCTTCCACACACACACACACAAAAAGATAATTACAAAATAAACGTCTACTTAATAAAACTGCATATACAATGTTAATAATTTTCTTTCAACAATCTAGTACACGAATTCTATTATTAAAATCACCTGTAAGCTTTTAGTTTTAAATTATTGCGTAATAACATTGCCAATAGTAAAGTGTATAAAACATTACATTAATACATAGATTAAGTAACAAATACAAAGTAGTTGAAGTTGCTACCAGTTTATAGAACAATGTATATGAAAGCATATTCACAATGATAACCATATATTAAGTAAGAATATACTTTCGTTCTATTCAAGGAAAAGTGTTAATGTATAATGATAATGTTCAGGTATATCAGATTGATCACATTACAATAATGGTATATTTTATTTTTTTTTTTACTTTTTGGCAGTAGACCTATTACAAGGTAAGGAATCAAGATAGAAGTAAGTATTTCTTAATAAATTGGCCAGAAACAATCTTCAAACAATACAGACAATGTTCGCCTTACTAAACAAAATTCCTAAGTGTACATTTAATAGGATAAGTATGAAAATGTTTAACGACTTTTTACTTACGTCAATAGGATTTTATGTTTAATAGAAGATATAATTATCATTTGCAATTGTACTCAAATGGTAGAGCATACAGTGTAGATGATAAGTTAAAAGATTTCAATGAAAATGGAGGTCAGTTTAGTTACCTAGAATGGGTGAGGAAGTTCAACCGATAAAAGTCAATCGTCTTAATACAAAGAACTCACCAGTTCAATGAATTTTTCCGTGACTTTACCACATAATAGACGCTACATAGATAATTTGTAATAATATACTTTTATACACATGAAGAAATTCCATTCGGAATTTAATAACAAGGCGTTTGACTACTAATTACAATGGAATGAAATTTTATACGTAGCACAGATTTTTGATGAAGTCAAAAATGAAAGCTTATGAGCAATTAACCAATTATGGGCTTGAAACATTGGTCATAAACACTGAAAACAGTAGGTAAGTAATTATGATGAATTTTTACATGATGAAAGTCAAGTCGATTGATGACATCATGATCACTTTTAGAGCCGGCCTGAGTGAGGATTACCTCAAGATGAGGTGCTATATGTAGTATAGCTAGTATGGAAAGGATTTATTAGTTGGTTAAAGAAAATAGATAATAGCACTTTATAAAATCCATATTACAAAGATTACGATAGATATGTTCACTGGCTATCTAGCTGTAAAACATCAAGTTCTCAGTGGTTCAATCTCTTAATAACTTTCTACTTTTACTCTATAGTCTGATTATATGTTCAAATGCTTAGCTTTGAGTTAGACTTCTGAGCAGTGATTACTGATATTGCTCGGCTGGGAAAACTGAGGTAAGTAGAATTTAGTTTGAGCTTGTAACCTAATAATTGGAAGCCAAGCGCTCTACACATTAAGTGATTGTTTCTTTGCACAATTGTATATACATCAAATGTAACAGTAATTTATGGTTATACTGATAGTCAAACACCTAAGAGTTAGGAAGTACAGATTAGTGTAATATCACAAGTCTTCAGAATTCTACAGAGGTGTTGGGTTGGTTGACACAGAAACTGAATTACTGATAATTTTTCAAGATTTTTATGATTTACTGAGAACTGGAGAAAGACAATCAAAATTAATGGGCCAAAAACAATTCTATCATCTTAGAATAAAACGTTTTAGTGTTTTTTTACCTACTACTTAAAAAGGCGATTATTAAGACATGAAGCAACTACAATATTATCTAATAATAGGTTACGAATATAATATATAAATTTTTCCTATTTCAATCAATTGGAGATGACCCATACCATTTTACTTCACATCATATCATTCATTCCATCAAGTTTTTCAACTAGATCTTCCATCATGGTATAGTATTGATGGAGAGACTATAGTTAACTTTCAAGTCGATACGATTATTATGATGAAATAGTAAATTTTCCTTAACGAAAATCTATCTGGGTTCATCACAGATTTAATAATAGTTGGTTGGTGAGAAAAATAATAAAGCTGATGAGGTTAAACAAGAACTTTTAGTAAATCTTAGCATTTAGGTGACACTATACAATAATTAGGGATTATTTACCTTGTGTATTCTTCTTGAAGCCATACTGGGTCAGGAACGTAGAATTTTACACGAAACCAAAATGTAAAGTTTGCTTCTCCTGGAAATTAAAAAATGGAAGTTAAAGTTTTTGGTGTAGAAAAACTGAATTATGTTACTTGAGATAAGTCTATTTGATAGTGTATTAAATAAGATTTTTAACAAACATAATGAATAGAGGCGTTAAGGACATTTTAGTTACAACATATCCAGAAACTCCTGGTTTTAGTTTTGAAACTACAAGTTTTCTTTCTACTCCAGTCATTGTTAGAGTGAAGATAAACAAAAAATTACTTTACCTGAATTCAAAATAAATCTATAAGTAACATAGTTTTGAAGAAAGAGATAAGTGATGAGTTCAGAGCTACCAAGATTAAAAGCCAAATACTTAATACTGAATGCAATTATTACTTTCTCTTTATTTTAGTTGGCATATATAAATTAGATAAATTAGGTTAAGTCAAACAGTCATATAGTTTTCTGTGGATTACACTAAATTCAATCTATTAATAACTTCCATTAATTCAATACGTATCAGCGTATGTTGTATCATCTATTGAGAGATGGTTACTGAGGCTTATATTAATTGGAATAGTTTAATGGATGGAGTACCTGTCTATTGACATCACGTTTAACTTTAAGGACAAAATTAGTTCAATAACACGAAAAGAATAAGTGAGAAGGACATGAAAAAAATTGGTAAAAACAATGGAAAAAATTGTAAGAGTTCTAGAAAAGAAGTGGTAACGTGTAGTACATTTTCAATCAATATATCTTTACATAAAAGAGTAACCACACTGAAATTAATTTTAGTGTCAATGTTAATTCTTTTTAGCTTGTCGATTCCAACATGAAAATATTACTTCGTCATTTATGTCCGTAGTTTTGAATATATTCTTATTAAATGTATTCAGGTACACTGTTCAAACTGTTGTATCTTAAATCACCACGGTAAAGAACCGTAAACGAATGGTAAGCACAGAAGGAGGAATAATAATATCGTTTTTGACAGACAGTTAACAACAGAAAATATGATCCGTAAGTAACACGTGAAATATATGACAATACTAATTTTATGGTTTGGAGGAAGACAAATAGTAAACACAACTGTACTACTGTGACCAACTTTGTTTCACGTCATTCACGGCTTCCAATCATAGATTACGGTTATCTCGTGAACTCTAAAAAAGAAGACGAGCTCTTAACGAAGCTAAGCTTGACTAATGTTATGTCCGTGTTATTGTGAAAAACGCTTTACTTTTTAAAGTGATAACCTCATTTAAGTGTTAAAAGTGACAGACATTCAGATAATCAGTATTATTGCAGATTTTACAGCTTCCTCCACCAGTGGACAATATCTATAACTACAGATCTTATTTGGTAGCTATAGTTTCGTAACACAAGTGGTCATGAAATCTAAGGAGAACAGTCACTGGTACTTTTCGTATCACTGTATAGAATTATTCAGTGAATACTTTGTAGTATTGCTAACTGACAATAAAAAACTAGCTCCACAATATAGGTAGATAGATGATATTCTATGTTTCATAAGCGATTAGGTGGGTTGTGCTAAAATCACACTATATTTAAAGTGCTTTATGTAACAATGCAATTTTTATATAACTATCTGCTGGTGTAAAACTCATGTGTACGAGAAATTAGAACCCAAACTGATGTATAAATGTAGGTCTGTATCTAGTTGAGGTCACCTAAAATTTTATTTACAAATTCACATAAGCTTATTGTAGTAAGCATATAGGAAAAACTTATAAAAGAGTTTGTACAAGTATCCTTTACCATACTCTGCTTATATCTGACAAAAAGAAATGTTATCTTATGTACGAAAACCAAGCGCTTGATGTGTCAAGCACACGAGGCGGATTTTTTCAGAACTTTTAAAATGATTTGCAGCTAACCAAAGACACATTTTCTTCGCTCAATTGAAAACGTCTGCAAAAAGTATTTTCCAACTGAACTGTATCTACAGAGCGAAAATGTTTTTTGTGCTAGAGAAACAACTGTCCTGAAACATTGTTTCGCAGTTCGCGGTCTTAATTTTTTCTGGTTAGTTGTATTTATTCATCTTTTTTTCCTAACTATTGTTTAAATCAATTATGACCTCAATTACCCTACTTTATAAGGCTAGAGTTTTACAATCAAGCATGCATTAACCGTAACTATAATACGTAGTGTCGATCTTATGTTTTAATACCCTAGTTTTGCACCTCATTTAAAGCTTTATTTGGAAATGCACTTATGAAAGTACACTAAACTTTTATTTCAAACCACAAATATATGAAATTCCAAACGTTTCATCTACTAACTTGTAAAACGGGTAGTACAAGTTGATTAAATTTAACACAAATATATACATGAGATTGCTTACGTCGAATATTTTACCGCATCAAAATAATTCAGTCAAAAATGAAGAACTAGTATTAACAATTCCCTTAAACTTGTGAACACTTTATTTCTTGCGTAAGCCTGAAAAGTTTGATCACTAGATTAACTTTTTAGAATAAGATATGAATTCAGTATTTTAGTTATCACAGTATAAAAGTATCCAACATATTAAAAAATAAATGTTTTGTATAGTTATTCACTTATGTGAAAACATTAGACAGGGTCTTTAAGAGCTAACAAGTGAACTGAAATAACTTAGTTTGAAAATTTTTCCTTCTGATCAAGTCGAACATATTTAACTATTTTAAGAACATTATATGCAATTGAACATATGATGAACTTAGGAAGCTGTACGATATTAATTTAAATATTATTTATGAAACATTGAATCATTTTGTTGATCCATGGACCTCATTTACATAAATCTAATTTGCATGTGCGGATAGCTTATTTTATTTAAATTCAATATAAGTATGTCATATTTTCTGCACATAATTTTTTAATTTATAGGATCAGCCTAAGTACCAATATGATTATTCTTGAAAGTGAAAAGAAACTGGAGGATTAGAAAAACATTTTACCATTTGTTACCAAAACCTCATGGTCGGCTAACTAATAGCAGAGTATAAAATTTAAGGTTGGATTACTTGATACTTAATCCTCAAAAGTAAAGATTACGACTTGTGAGGCAAACAAAAGTACATTAAAAACAGTTACTTTTTTAGATGTCGTCTAAAAATCTTGGAAAACAAATGGTTGGTGATTATGTTCTCAGCGTGTTTTTTTTTATTAAGTATTAACTAAGATTTATAATGTGTTCAGATAAGTTTTTCAAGTAGCAATTCGGTTTTGTTGTGTTCACTAGTAGATGAAACCATCAGATGCATGTTAGGCACTTTGCGCCGTAAATATTACTATTTTACAAAACTATCCACGAGATCATTTTTGATTTAAATTGTTCTCGAAGATTTTGTCACAAAGATTTCCCGTACAATTAATTGTTTATAAACTAATAGTGTATTTAAATAAATAAACAACGTCCTATCTAGAATTGAAGTGTGTGTTGATCATTAGCAAACATTAATTACATTTCTTATCAATAGATAACCACTCAAAATTCATAAAATATTGAACGAATACGTTTTTAGTCGGCTTATTCTTTGATAATTTGTAAATTACTTAGATTTGAAAACAATATTTACTTACTCCCCTTATAAATCTCATCATTCAATTAAATTCGGATACGACAGTCTTCTGAGTATCTTTTTCTGATATCTCAAATGATAGCTTTCGCGATTTCAAAAACCCAATAAAACCACTAAACTAAGATTTAACTTCAAGTACAACGTACGTAAAGCACTAACTAAAATAATCGTATACGTACCGAAATTTAACAGTCTGTGTTCTGATAACTAATAAGCGTAACGTAATGGAGGCATTTTTGGGTATATGTAACCAAACAATCAGATAGTGAGTCTTCATATTATTTCACGTTCTAGACTCTCAGTGTATGTACAACCGTATTTTCATCATAGAATAAGCAAATATTCAAGAAAAGTTTATCCATACCACTTAAAATACTTTTAAGTAAGATCATACTTGCTTATAAAAGTAACTTGTAGCGGAATATTTTGCGAGGCTTAAAAACGTTTGCAATATTGTTGTTTTTCTCCAAAACAAAGACTTCTATAATGTGTTTACTTTCAGCATCTTCATAATGAATTTGTCTTTAAAGTGATTTTTTAAAATAAATATTAGCGACAGTTGTTGCTTGTATTTCAAGTACCATGTCCAACTGCTATTCGTCTATCTTACCAAACCACGATTCTTCATCTAAAAAAATCAGTCTCAGAAAAAATTCTCAGTGACCGTTTTATGGAATATACCGATGGTAATATCTTGCTCATGTATATTTTTACCAACAAGATATCAACTCACTTATTGTGTTACAGCGGTTACAGTAATTATTTTTAAAAATACAATTGTCGTAATGCTATAAAACCATACATTTCATTTTACGAAGTAAATCTATATTTAATCGAAGTTCAGCCATGTTTTTAAAGTAGGAACTAGTAAAACCGTCTGCTTGTCTAGGCGCAAGCAGCTGAAAACGTATAATCAATTCCTTGAAAGCCAAGTGATATTTTACATCTTATAACTACAGCTACCAGTAAATGTGATCTTTGTTAGAGACCTAAAAACCAAACTCCGCCCATGTAATCTAAGTTCCCTTTGATCGCATAAATTGTATCTATTAGCTACCATCTTGGTTCTAACTTAACTCTCAAATTAACAGTATTAATCATACATCAAATATTCAAAAAGTAATAATGTGGATTAAGATATTTTTCTCACCTTTACACTGCTTCCTGATTTTTCTTGTCGGATCCAACCATTTCTTAAATTTTTAATAAAAAAACAGTTACATCAGAATTTTTGAGACCGATATCCACACATCGAGGGTATGACAGCAGAAAATGTAGTGATTTTACAATCAATAATATAAATCAAAGTTTTTCCATAATTCAGTGAAAGACTTTGGCTTGGGGATTCCTATTACCTAAACGATAATAGATGAATGAACTGATCTTTTCAAATGTAAGACAGAGCCATTAGGTAACCAAGATATGCGTTTAGGAAGGGATTTTTTCAAAGAATACTTTTCGGTTGGTAGGCTTGTACAAGCATCAACTTAAGAAGATGGGCCGGAACGTTTGTCTTGGTCTAAGAATAAAAGGAGGACTTCGATTCAAACGTAATCGTGATATTGTTACAATCTACCAAAACTATTGTACTGCGTAGGAAGAGATTCATCTAAACCATTTGTAGGTTCCGAAGTTTAGTTCAGAATTATTGACCAAAAGTACTTACTCAGCCATCTTTAGAATGAGCAAAAAATTGGAATACTACGACATTTCTGTTGGTGTAAAATCTACAAGAAAAGTCACTAAAGAAAAAAGTTCAAGTATATAGAAATATCAGTACTGTCATTTCTTTTTAGTAAATAAAGGTATTCCGAGACTTTTTCCAAGCTCATGTGTTACTTATTGCAACAAATTTAAGCCTTTGAAGCAAAATTATTTGTTAATCAGCATAGTGTTTGCCGAGAAACTTCATAAAATAAAAAGCCTAGATTTCTGGTTTACTGTAAACCGGCTTTTGTAATTGACACCAAACACAGCCTAGATATTTAATCATCCACCTTGGTATCGACGTTTTTAAACTAGTCAACAAATTTTTGTCAGGAGCACACTGTTATTTACTATCCATGATCTATTAGTGTATATTTACACAATACCATCGTGGTCACAGTTTGAGTTTTAAAAACCTGCTTTTAATGATCATAAAAATACGAATTCGGAATGAAGATGCCACATGTATTTGTAGTTTGACAACGCTTTAACTAGTCAAACCTTCTATAATAAATTATGACCACACAGAAAAATCAAAAGTCAGAAGCTAGGGGGTTCAAAGATATATTTTTGATAGGCTATTAATATATCGAGAAGCGACTGGTCTAAACTGGCTAGCGATCGCAGAAGTTGAGACGATGCATGGCCAAAAACCTTCAGCTACGTCAGCCCGTTAAAACTAATGTGGTCAGCATCACATGTCGAAGACTAAAAGGGCTACTAGTCTGGAGGGATTTATTTACCGCTACAAGAAGCAATCAGCTAGTTTTTTAACGTCAAAAGATAGTCCACTTTCTATTGAAGAAATCCAAGGAGTTAAAGTTGCTTCCACTAGGAATTAATAGGACTTCCGAATGGATGCATCAGTTTGTTAAGCTAATATTCTTCCCTAATGAAGTATTATAGCAAAAGATAATAAAAAATGTCGCGGTGACTCAGTGGTAAGACTTACATTTAAGCGTCTATAGCTACTAAGATGGTATTTGATCTCAGAGAACTAGAGAGTTAAATGAATATTTTAACGTGATATTTATAGTCAGTCGAAGCTATTTTAGTTCAGTGTTCCTATTTAGCGTATCAGAAAAGATTGAGATCCATAAAAAAAGCTGTGATGTTACAAAAACATACTACATAAATATCAAACACGGGGGAAAATATCTGCATTCGAAGTAAACACTTAGGAGTCAAATGAAAATACTTTGTGTATGGTCATCAATACAACTCTCAAACAGTTACTACCAAATGAGCAATAATGTTACAGCCCCCGACACCGTCATTATTCTAAAACAAGTGTGTACTGAAAGTTTAATTTTTAATTACTGTGGAAGCGATACTTTAATCTGTCGACTGACCAAATGTAGTCTTATACTCATGACATACAGTAAGAGAATTGAAAAATAAAACGTTTTATCCTGAAATGGTTGCAAACGAACATTCCGTTTATTGCTAAATACATTTCACGATAAAGGGAAAATATCTGGACTGATACTACTTACTGTCAAGTTACCCTCTGTTGTTTGATGAAATGTGTATACAAGTCCAAAAAAGTCCTTTTCCAAAAGCTCCAGAAAGTCGAACGTTAAATCGAGCAGCGTTTGACCGCTACAGCCTCTCTATAAAGTAAAATTCATGATATGTTGAGCTCACATCAACTCTGAACGCGACAGCAGTAGAATCAAGAAGCCAAACATTACATGTAATGGAATTTTGGTAAGACGAGCGATCCACCTGCTCTGCAGCTTCAACGTTGTAGGTTCCACTAAACTTAAGAGTCATCAAGTGTGGAAGGTTTGTACAAACAATGTATGTCGAAGCATCACATTGCAAGTTTATGCCAGTCAACAAAATTCTAGGGTGTAAAACGCATCTTTTTAGTTATTCAGAGGTAACAAATATCAGGACATTTGACGAAAATTCGACATTTTTTACAATATGAAATCATATCCATCTGGTACCACAAAGATTTACGGAAACACGATATAGGCGTAGCACCAGTCTATCGAATGTTTGCTTGTTTACATGACAGGGTAAAACAAACTCAAAAAAATAAATGACAGCTCTTCTGTGTTTTATTCCACTAAGTTGTAATAATTGTTATTAATAAATATGAACTATGATCAACATAACGCACTACTTTGTCATTGATCTGGCACGGTTTTCTTCTTGAATGTAACTGGTTGAAGGTTTTCAAATGGGTTTAGTGCAGTGTATCGATCCATCCCCATCAGCCAACCAGTCAGCCGAGATAGCACAGTCCCTGATTGCCGGAATATTAGCTCGTCAGATATCAGGACAGGGTGGAGGAGGTACAAATTGTATACCATGTGTCCGAAACTTAAAGTACAACGTGATCACTATCCACTAGTGAAGGGAGGTGCTGAATGTCGATGAGATCCTCACAGTGGTGTGTGAGGACAAGATCTAGCAGTAACGGATCGTGTTGCAAGTCAATAAGTATCGGTTTTGTGATACATTGTACAAGTGTTCACTGAATAATGGGTGAAAGAATGTCGCTATCTAAAAACCCACCCGAAGCTTCAGGCTCTATCCAGATAATATGTACTGCGTCTAAGTCTCCAATGATGAGATAACTTTCTGCCTCACTCCAAGAACAAATGAGTCTTAAGATAGGACTACGGTATATCCCTTCTATAGTCACTAACCCGTGTCTAGACTTAAATGTACAACATGCTATCTCACGTGTTCCACTAGCATGCAATTGATTACATACGAAAGTGATCCACAACATATGACATTATACCTCCTCCCTTGCAACTTATAACTCTATCACTTCTAATAAAGATGTAGCCTGCAGTGATGGGAGAACAGTCTATATCTACGGTGGGCCAAGTTTCTGTGACAACAACTATATCGGGACTTTATTCATCCTCCGTCAAACGCAGCTCAGACGCTTTATTTCGAAGACTACGGGAGTTCAAGCGGCACACATGTAAAGTGTTTTGAGAATCATTCGTTCTACCCACAGAGGTCTCAGAAGCATTGGCTTCCAAGATCTAACCACCCGAAAACCCTCAATCGTAAAATTCGTTTCGCAATTTAGCTCACGAGTTTTTAACTCCGTAAAAGCATTCTTCCACTTGATCCGATCCGCAAGCGGTCAATCTGGTCGGATACGAATATTTCAATCACGAGTTTTTTATGCGTTTTTCAATATTACGTCACTTTTATCAAACTTCCCGAGTACAAACTTCAAGATCCTTGTTGGTCAGGTCTCGCCTCCAGTACATTTCTGATGACAGATTCCACTAACTCTGGTTCGTATGCATGGCTTTTAGCAGAGTTATTATATTTCGATTCCTCTAGATTCCAAATAATTTATCTAGGAACGGGTTTCACTTCTTTGAAGGTCGTGTTCACGGCTTTCGACAGTGATGTCAGATCTTTCCTGTTCATCGTTAGCAGCTCACTGTTAGTTTCTCTAGTAACAGCGTCGTGGGAGCCTTGCGAATGACTCACGACAATGTTTGGTGGGGCCCCTTGGATGAATAATGTTTCGTCCAAACAACGAAATATACAGAGTCAATGAGAGCTAGGTTTTGAGAATCCTTTATAAGCAGTGGCACTTAAGATGGTACACATCTCATGGAATCACCTCTTACACCCACAACATTGTATTCCTTCTTCCACGGGGAACATTCAATATGGCTGTCTTCATTTGTGAGCAAAACTGCCAATCTCGAAAATTACTTAAGAATGATAACATAAATATCGTCATGTAAAAACAAAATCTCAAGCCTTAACCGAACAAATCAAGTCAAAGTCGACCAAGTATGCTTTGGTGTAATAAATACACAAGTACAATATCGACTTAACTGAAATAAATTCAGCTAATGTGTAAACAGTAGCTTTGATGTGTAATTTATGATTTAACTGAAGGAGGTATAATACTTCTGCCCGTGGTGATCCTTGCTAGGACAACAGTTACTGGCACGAAACATGTCGCTTTGTAGAAATTCTTTTGGGTGATGTTAAAGTATCCATGCTTTTTGTGGACTGTCTTAAAATGTGATGGCATCTTAGGTCATTGAAGAAGGAAATAAATTGAGCATTCAGAGCGGTCAGTTGACAAAAGACGGAGAAATGTGGCCTATGGACCAAAGATTTAGTTTATTAGCATGCCATAATACGATCTTCCTGAATAAAACAAATGGCCTCAATAGATTTTGTTTCACGCCTATACAATATGGCACGGCTATTTAAAAAGGAATTGTAAAATTCACTAATACTTAATACAAATTCAACTTAATGCTCTATAGAAATGTGACGAGCTTAAAATAAGCACAACGATTACCATGTAAACATCATTGAAACTATTGTTCATAATCGCATTTGTGACGAAAAAGTAAACCGTCTTTTACAACACTGATGTATGAATGATAATTATAATAGTAATGTTTCCAGAACGATGCCACCGGGATGCAATTATTATTCACAGTTAACAAACTGTTTTACCAATGATGACTAGACGTTTGATTGGTGATATAATTATTCATTTGACCAGGCGTTCATACGATGTGCTCAAACAGAGACGAATAAGAAGGCGTAGAAACCATCTAAAAGTTAAAGTTCTTTGTAGTGGTGCAAAGATCGTCACAATTACAGTAGATTAGGGACTAAGTTTTCCAAAAAATTACCCGTGTCATCAGCTACGATGAGCCTGATAATATTAAAAGATGTGCCAATGAGTTTGATAATAAGTATCCAGAAGAGGCAGCAGACATATTCCTTTTCAAGTATATTAATACTATCTATCTTCTTTTTGACCACAAACTCCATAAATGAACACTGGCCCTCTATGCTACGTGACCTTGAAAACGACCAGCCAGCTTGAGGCAAAAACCCATGGATATATCAAACATCTTCTGAATATAGTAATAATAATAATAATAATTAACTCTCAAATAACAGTTTGTTACACGAGGCATGCCAATTTAAAGGCAAGATCAAATTGTTACAGAAGATACAGCTTTTACTGTGGTTGGTTACCCAGTTTGTTTGATATTTTTTTTAGGTATATTGATCATAAAAGTATGGGGTATAATACTCCTCACATATGATTGCAAATATTCATAAGACCCGTATTGTCTTCGGACTCCTCCTTTCCTGCCTACCGGTTTGGCTGGGTTTGGGTTTCTTTAACTTTTTTTGTCACAAACTAAGGCGCTGCCAAATTCTGAATATCTATGACATCTTTAAAGTGCTTTCTTAAGTGATATAATCAACAATCTGAATTCACTAGAGTTATTTGGCACAAAATGGCTCCCAAGTTCACTTTAACTTACATCGGCATCACAAAACTCAATGATTTCCTAATGTAATGCGTGGAATGTTTAAGTTCCCCGATAATTTTGGTAAGCAGAAATGGTATCAGGGATATTTACATTTGGATATAAAGAGAATGCTACTGTAGCATGTACAAAGTGGACCATTTCGATGGCGTCAAATAGTCAGATCACCTTAATTATCCTTGATTTCGATAGAATTCAGTTCGAGGGCTTCAATCAATTTGTGCAGTCTTCTCCTGTGATGATAAAAAAGACAAAACCGACTTCGAAGATTTTAAGTGACTCAACTAGTGTGAGACCATTCCTTTCATAGCAGAAGCCAGTTTCTGAGGTGTATGTTCATATTAAGTGCAACCTTTATTATCTAGAAATTTTTGTCCTTTGCTGAATCAACATCTATCAACTTTTCCGACTTTTCATCTGTTATAATGATGTCAAGAATCGCGTCACTTTGTCCAGTGCCTCTTTTTATTTGGATCATTTATCATTCTCATATGCAACGCAAAACTTTGTGATGGCCAGTGAACTCAGATTTCAAGCTTAGGTGTATTTTTACTCAGTCACTGGAGGTAACGACCCAGATGTACCAAGTGATGAGTGATGTATGATCCACACAATTAATAACCCGTTTTTCACTTCAGATACAGGGAACAAAATCTAAAGACTCAAACACTTGTTCTTTCGGTCGAAAGAGGTATTGCAGACTAGACTATGAGATTCGTTCGTCTCAGACAATACAGGCCTCAGACTTCGAGTTCTATGATTAAATACTATGGTTTTGGTGACCTCTGGATCTGTTAATTCCAATTCCATGTAGTTAATTAGGAATGGATTGATTGTGTCGCTCAAAATTCAAATATTTTGTATGAAGGTAGAAACATCCATCGAAAACAATATTTATTCAGTTAAGCAAAATATCTGTGTTCTTCCTTATAGGGTTTTGTACAGGGTACGAAGCTTCTTTGAGTGACTGGTAATCAACGATAATACGAAAACACTTATTATATGCGTATTATATTTACGTTATTAAGTTTATAAGAACAGGTTATCTCAAAATATGACATGCTTTTGCATTGCCCATTGACCACTATACAGTGAAAAGTCATTCTAACACAAAGTAATGTACTGGACACCAAATTGTGGTACATAAGTACACCTGTCAAGTACCCGAGATTTATCAGGACTATTTCTAACAATAAGAAAAGAGAGATAGTGGGTAGCACAAGGAATCCAGGACGCTCGTTTCGTCCCATTTAGGACTCGTCAGCTGAATGTACCTGCATCTCAGAGTTGATGAACACTCTGGAACTCGAACCCAGTACCATTCGCTTCGAACGCCATCACGTTATCCACACAGCTACTGAGTCCTGATAGCCACTTGCTTGTACAACGAGGTGAATTTAAATTCACTTTGCTCATAAAGGTTTAAACATAAGTGGGAAGGTACAAACAATACAATACCAAGTGTATTTCTAGTAATTTTAAGTGAAATCCCTTTTTGTAAGAAAAGTACTAAAATGACAGGTGTTTTCAGTAAACTGTTGAGTGAGATTACTAATAAACTGCCCAACTCTGCAATCTCCAGTTCAGTCGAATTATAGCACATTGTCAAAAGTCTGGTATCATATATTAATGAAATTAAATTCTTATGGCTGATCCCAATCAAAGTCATATAACCGGAGTTTCATCAAAAAAGACTATGAACTTTGAAAAC